TTATTATTGTCTCTCGTTACATAACAAAAACAATTTTTTCTATTGATTATTTTTACAATATAGAAAAATGCATGTTATATAAATAAATGTATTATATGAATCATCTATTAATTTTTTTTATATAAATATTTCATTTTTATGTTTAGATGAAGATATCGATGGTGCAACTGTACTTTTACTACAGCAGGAAGATATTGTGAAAGTATTTCCTCGAATAAAAGACAGGGTAAAATTTGTTGATGAACGTAAAAAATTGATAGAAAATTTCAAGGAACATCTTACAGATACTGCTGAAATTACAGGTAATCTATTCAAATCAGCATTATCATCTTCCGCATCATCATCATATTTTTTAGATGTACCACAACATGATGGTTTACCAAATTCATCAATTTTAGTTAGGACTGAAGAAGATCAAAATGAGCAAACAATTGATGTTATATCATCGAATATTGATTGTCATGACAATGATGATTTTGATGTTAAATCACGACTGCCAATAGATTATACAGGACCAAATTTGTCTGCAAAAATGCAATATTACATTGATAAAAACGATCTTTCAAAATTTTATCCACATAGTGCTTTACGTGCTGAACTTCTATCATTGCTTTTTGACGATGTCAACAAAATACATCAATTACTGTAAGTCATTATTGTTGATAATATTTTCCATTTTTATATGTATCTGAATTCAGTTATCCTAATCATGATGAATATATAATCATGGCGAAGTGTATCGTTCAAAAACTGTCCATTCCAGCAGCTTTAGTTCGTGAAGCTACAGTAAGGAAAAATAATAAATAGATTCAAATTAGATATTTTCTCTTTCTATAGAAAGAATGGCATGAATCAATTAAGCAAAAATTTAAACGAGAACGTCGACCTTTACAAATGGATAACGATTTAGTGAAGCATAAACAAATTCAATATGGTAATGGTAAAACAAATGGTCGACCAAAAAGAAAAAGTGTTGTTGAACAAGCTGAACGTCGAACAAATGATGTAGTAAGTGATAAAGTAACTTTATATAGTATATCATATTGTATATTTTAATAGCCATTTATAAATTTAAATGATGTTCAAAATGAATATCTTTTGCCTTTGACTGATCAAATGAAAATTGAATTACGTAGAGATAATCCTGATAATAATGTTCTTCATAAACTTTGGCGCCAATCTTTTAATACTCGTCGTTTACATGTTCGTGAGCTTCCAATAGATCAATTACTTGAACAATATCCTGGTTATCGTCGTGCAGATTTGGTGAGAGATTTTAATGATAATTAATTAAGAATTATTTATCGAATTAACACATGCATTGATACTTTCGTTTAATCGCTTTTTAACTTTTTTTTTCTAGCTCTTGGCAGAAGTAAAAGAAACTATTGGAGTCGATCTTAATGAAAATGTTGAAGATTTATTACCGAAATTTTTCGAATGTTTACCAGATAATAATTGTTTTTTATCGGGTAAGAAAGATCTAAAACAAAATCTGAAAAAATGCCAAGGAAAAGATTGAACTAATATCTATATTAAGCTCAATAATCTTGGTTTTCTATATATTGCTTAAAAACAAATTCACCATTCCTGCAGACTAGTTTCAAAACTTGGAATATAACAAAAATTTGGTTTTAAAGTTTTGTTTTAATATGCCATTAGCTTTGAAAAAGATATATATTTCAATAATTATAAAAAATTTCTAGATCCTTTCTTTTATCCCTATCTTCTAAATAAAATTAGGTTTTCTAAGAGTATTAATGTTTCAGATTATTTTATTGTAGACGTGTTGCCAATTCGAGTCATTCGAATTTTATGCAAAAAATTTGGTGATTCAGTTAGTAATGTTTTCACTTATCAAGTAAATTATTTTTTTAAGTATTCATTATATAATGCATTTTTCAACTGTATGCATAGGAAGTACTTGTACCTTATCCATGTATTAAAATTCTCGAACACAAGTTCGAAATTTATCTTGATTTTCATCTTGTCACAGAAACAAATTCATGTTCAACAGCTCTTGCCCTACTCTTATCATTTTATTATATATTTGAAATTCAATTTGCGCAACACAGTAGATGTTGTCGATTTCTTTACAGCATCTTGTTTGAAGATGCACGCTATCTCAATAAATCAACGAAAAACTTATTAAACAGTTGGAAGTACAAAATTATTAATAAACCACTAATAAAACGACAAGCATTTGTTATGAATACAGCCGAATGTTTTACTCAACCATCAACTGATAATGAAAACATATTATCTTCATCCAATAATTTTACTCAAGTAAGGCGCTTGAGCGAGCTTTAAAGGAATAACATTTCGAGATCAGTCTTACTAGGATAATAATGGCATCTTTCCAAAAAATATCTCGACATAAAGATATTCGATATTTTTTATAAGAAAAAAAAACATTATTTAATTAAAGCTTGACTTCGATTCAACAACAGGACAGTAATTATTACCAAATTGAAATTAAAAAAATATACTTCATAAACGATATGTCAAATCTTTGCTTTATTTTTAAAAACTTCAACTAAAAGCTGTTAGAGAAGCACTTTTCAATTTTAAAAGATAGCCCAAAACACAAACTTTTATCATTTCTATCTTGTTATTCACTCTGAACTTTCCTTTACTACAATTTTAGATTGATCATGTAGCAACTCAACAATCTCAACAAACTCAATGTTCTTTATTACCCAAGAAACTAACCACTTCAAATAACACTGTTCAAGATAGTTTTAATTCAATTAATGAAAACGATCATGATCAAACTTCAGATTCTGCTGATAAAAATATCTTCAATCATTTATCACCCATTTCCATTTCAATTAATGATTCTCAACGAAATTCACCAATGATTCTTCAAAATGAAAGTCAATCATCAATTGATAATCAAACATTGACTGATGATCTTAAATTATCAGAAACAAACGAAATATATCATGTTAAAAATCCTCCGTACTCAAAACAAAATGAACTCGAACCTGATCCATCAAAAGAAAAAACAACTATCTCGAATCTTAAACGAAAACGTAAACATAATCAACCATCATCTTCATCAATCAACTTCCACAAACAATCTATGCGACTCGGAGAAAAGCGAAGCCGTGTTCAATAAAGCCATTACATAGACTCAAACCTTTTTTTGTTTCTCTTCTTTTCACTTGAATACTTATTGTTTTTGTACTTTCCACTTTATCTCTCAGACTTTATTAGTCTTTTTATATGTTAAAGAAGAGAAGCAATTTTAACATTTAACGAAAACTTCTTTATCACATTTTAACTTCATCCAATTCACGCTTTCCATACTATAATTTTTCATAAAACCACCATTTACTTCTTCCCATCGATTTCTCATTCTTACCATACCATCTACAACATTCAGCACAAACATTGCGTAGATGATCAATATCTATATAAATCATAAGTAGGAAAGTCATTTATATTATTCACCACCATCATTCAGTAGATGATCCATAACTATATCGATCATCACAAGGCAAGACGTCTATATTATTGAGGAGCATCATTGAGTAGGTGATCTATATCTATATCAATTATCACTAGAAAAGTCATATATACTATTGAGGAGCACCATTAAGTACACGATCTATATCTATATCGGTTATCACTAAATATGTTTTTTATAATATTGAGAAGCACCATTGAGTGGGTGATCTTTATCTATATCGATTATCACTAGACAAGTTATACATAATATTGAGGAG